TCACTAAGTGGTCATAAAGCACATTGCATTTTAGCAGTTTTAACTCAGCCATCATGAAGCAGCTATGTGGGGAATGACAGCCTTCATGATAGCACACAGCTTGACTTCACCATCACTCTGCCTACTCAGTTTGCAAAGGAATCCATCACTGAGCCATAAGCCTAGGCTGAGTACTGCCATCTGTTTTACCCTTAATAACATGATAATTCACAGCCAGACTTATATATCTAGCTTCCCACCTACTGTTAACAGTTTAACTATTTTGTCATTATTTTCTTGATCATCTTATGCTGTTTTTAGCATAGTCAACACACAGACTACAGTCCTCTATCATCTTCATTCTGAATACACATCGCCTCCATATTAACCCCTCATTTCCACAAGAGACTATTTAATAGATGTTTCTACTATGTCACTGTTCTTATGATCTCTTAAATATAAAGCCATCATAGAGATCTGTACTGTTTTATAACTAAACATTAGAGTGTGAATCTAATAATGCAAGTTTATTGCTTGTTGTTTGCTGAGAAAGCAGGGAAAAATGGGAATCCATGCAACCATGTAAGAAAACAGCCCTCTTAGCTCTGAATGAACAGTAGCTTTTCCCTGGGGTATAGCAGCAATCTTGGAGCAACTTGTAATAAAAGTAATTAATTTTATATTGCCCATTATTCAAATCCAAACAGCAGTTTTATATATTTTTTTTCTATTTCAGTTTTCTTTACATGGCTATACAAAACATCAGTTAGTTCAGTCCTTAAATCCTTCAATTAAATGTCTGTAATCCAGATACAATTTCTACAATCATATTTATTTATTCAGGCCATAGACTCGCTGTTTCCAAGTGACAGTGAATGACTGTCATCATGAAGTTTGGGTAGGGCCTTGGGTGGGGTGTAATTATCTCTTCCTATTTCATTTATAGAATGTCTGCCCTTTACTCCTTGAATGAATACCTTCTACAGTTAGCAGAAGTGCTGCAATTGTCCAGAAGAAGGCTGAGGCCACAGACTTCTCAACTCATACTCATTTCTCCACCAACCTATTGCAGTCTCAAGTACCTACCATAGGCCCAGGGGGCACTGGCCAGCCAATCCACTTGCCCAGTGCCCTGCACTGGACAGAAGAGACTAGGCTGGCGGAAGTGGGGGAAGCACTTACCTCTCTCTCTGGGACTCTCAATTCTGCAGACCCTACCCAGCATTTCCCTGGCATCTGCAGGCATTGTGTTTGTCACCAGTCACATGCTGGTCACCTCCTTGAGGAGCTGGCCTTCCCCACCTTAGCGTTCCTTTACTTGCCCAGGATCCCAGAGATAAGGGGGAACAGTGGAGTGGAGAAGAGCATAGAGTGGGTGTTCTCCTAGGGACTCGAGGGTGGGACAGTGCCGGGCCGGGCGGGGTGGTGCGGGGCAATCCAGGACTGTGTAGCCTTTCCTTTTTCTTCCCGTGGCAGCACACTCCCTCACAACCAACCAAGAAGGGCAGAAAGAAAGACGAATTAAGAAATGAAGAGTAATTATAAACTCACATTTTCACACCTTTAATTTTATGCATACAACAAAAATGTTGAATGTAGTTTTTAGTTGAGCAAAGGAAATTGAAGCCGTTTATCACTTACGATCATTTACTTCAGAACTGATTAAACTTGGTCTGTTCATTTTGGTAATACGCCTCCTTTGTCTTACACTGTTCATAATACAATTGCTGCCATGCCTGCAGAAATTCAAATAATATTTATAAGATTTCTGTTAAACAAGAAATATTATTATAGGAATGATATTCAAAAAAATGTGGCCTTTACTATTGTGGGTGGTTAGGTACAAGAGGTGGGTGGAAGGGTTGGAGGAGTTGTCACCATAAATAAGTTATGTTTGAAAATGTCATATAGAGACCTAACACTTTGCATACTAATTATATATATATATATATATATATATATATATATGTATATATATATATATATAATTGGAAAGGAAAATTGTGACCTTTGAATAATTTTTGTAGGGACCTCCTGTTCTTGGAGTGATGACTTTCAAACTTAGAGGAGTAGATTACATGTGGAATGTTGCTGCGGTCACTTTGAGTAAAAACTACAATTAACATTTGCCTATTTTTGCATACCATTTTGGGGATGTAGCTTCATTATTTCAGTACAAAGATTAATCCACTTTAGTCCAATTGAATTACTTTGTGATTCTTAGCAAAAGTATACCCTTAAATAAACTATAATCTGTTTTGTTTTCTTTAATGGTCATTAATGTTGAGAAACTCTCAGCTTTCTACCTTCAGGAAGTTAATAATTTAATATGTTCTTTGTGATCAATTTTCAAAACACTAAATATACAAAAGAAGAAACTACTATTGTCATAATGGCATATGAAACTATACTGCTGGAAAATATTTAAAATACTATGCCATCTAGATTATGGCCGAAAATTTCGACAATAAATTTACTTTGAATAGTAGAAATATATAGTAGAGTCACAAGTGAAACTTGAATTTTATTGCTTCACGACTTAATCAAATGGAAAACAATCAGCGCTTGTTTGATACCTTCCCACTAGAGTGATCACATTTACTTATTTAGTTGTGAAATGTGAGAGAGTGATTTAAAGCACACTTTAAAAAGATGAGCAACAAAAGGGAGTCTGGCGGCTCATGCTCTCCCTAACATCTAAACCTAGTGGCCGGTTCAGTAGCCTCAAGGTTCCAGTCATGATTATGGCCGAGGCACTTGGGTGAGTTCTCTTCTAAGTTTGGCTCTCCTCTCCTTGGTGTATTGGCCTTTCTGCTTAATCACAATTGCAGTCATTCCTTTCAGTCTGGCCTTCTGACTAATCCTGAAATTCTTCTCTGTCTGGTTAAGAATTGGTCAGATAGATAGATAGATAGATAGATAGATAGATAGATAGATAGATACAGAGAGAGAGAGAGAGAGAGAGAGAGAGAGAGAGAGAGAGAGAGAGAGAGAGAACACAAAAGAGGGAACCATTATAGGTTTGAAGAGAAAACTGAACCTAAAGAAATGTCTAGAGACCTACAAGACTGATTCTAACTAAACACTGAGTTGAACTAGAATCCAGATGCACAGAGAGAGGACAAGACCAGGCTGCAGAAACACATCAAGACAGCTTACCTAAACAAGGAGGAGCTACCAGGCCCCCAGACTGGGAAGCCAGCATGGGTCTGACTCAGAACCCCTAAACATGGGACTCAGCTAGAAGGCCTGAGCAGTCTAAGGGACCTCAGACAGTGCTTGCGGGCACATCCACCATGGAGGGGATATTCCCTTAACCTAGAGACAGGAGAGAAGTCCTAGTCCCTACTTCAAATGACCTGTCAGATTTACCTGACCCCATCTGGATGGCATTGCCCTACATGTGGAGTGGGGGGTGGGTGGGAGGGGAGGGTGGTCAGGGTGCATGTGGGGGGGAGAGGGAAAGAAAGAGGGAGGGAGGGAGAGAGACAGGGAGGGAGGAAGGGAGAGGGAATTGGGATCAATATGTAAAATTAAAATTAAAAAAAAAATTGGTCAGGTGATGAGCAGCGACCCCTGGGCACTGGATTGTCACCCTCATGCTGCCCAGCAGTCATTGTCATCAAGTTTCATTTCCTGGTGCTGGTACCAAAACAATGAAAAAATTTTTATCCATTTGGGATCCAACCAAAGTTTTGGTATATTTGTTTATTGTTTCCCTCCTAACACAGTCGGTTGCAAAATTTATTAGGAAATTTTAGACTTTTTTTTTATCCTCTATCATTTTTAAAGGTGTCAGCTGGGTAAAAGAATTGAGGCTCTAGTATATTAGTCTATGATAGTTTTGACATTGAGAAGATCCTAAAAAAATAGGGATCAGTTTTACTGACTGAAATGGGTGTTTTAATAACAGTAGATACATAGTAAAAATCTACTTTATATATTTTCTACAAATCAACATTTTTCTCTTACAATCACCCTAGATAAAAAATTTCCCAATAGTAGATACTCATCTCTAACTGGGTCAAGCATGTTTTCTTGCATACTATGCAAGTGACACACTATGTGATGGTTGCAACCACTTTTAATAAATATGGATGGTTATGGAAACTTTAACAAAGAAATTTTAACAAGTGTTATGTTCCCTTAAAATAACTATTTCAACATTTGCATCAATGAATAACTGGAGAAAATATAAAAATAAATTGTAATCTTAAGAAAGCTTTCCATGTGTTCAGATGAAAAATTTTCTATCACAGCTGCAAAGGATATGGAGATGGCATGGGATCATACATGGGGTTGTGGATAAGAGAGAGAGAATTCATACTTTTAAGGAAGAATAGAAAGGCTTTACATAACTGCAACCTTAGTTCCCAGTCCCTCATGTGAGAGCAAGGTACAAAAGCTTAATGAACTACACTTTGAAACCTCATATCAGGGTTAAGGAGATAACCTTAATGATAGTAAAGAGGATGAGGTAAACTGAAATCAACATGAGGTAATTAAAACATTAATTAAGGCTATAATCTTAATTTTCTTTGATTTTATAGGTATAGACACTTTATAAAGAAGTATTTCTTTCGGGTTCCTTTAAATTCGAAATATCCACCCAAGATTAAGTGTTTGGATGTCAAACTAGGGATGCCAGAGGAATGGAGAAATAATTGTAAGGCTACTATGGACCTGAGCTTAACTAAAATTACTTAGGAATTGAGCCAGTCCTTTTCAAAGTCAGCCTATAACCACAGGAAAAAAAATACTAGTCTCTAGCACTAATTTCAATGTAGCCATTAAAGAAGTTCAGTGTGTTTTAGTAGTTATATCTATTGACCCAAATTAAGAAAAGTTTATTTGTTGGAAGTGAAAGCTCTGAGGATTTAAAAATGTATAAATTTGGTTTTCTTTCTATATTAACAAAAAATGTGAGATTAATTTATTATGAATAAATTATATTACCAAATTAAAAACAAGAACTATAATAGATGTCTTAAATCATAATCAAAAGGTAAAGCACAGCTGACCCTGCACAGGTAGTTATCTAGACTTTCCACAAAGTGCCATGGCCTTGAGCCTGGGATCAAGGGTTCTTCTTGAATGAAGTGTCCGCTATGTTCTGGACTGCTGTGGGGATGGCCAGTTGCAAATCCCTGAGCAGGGTTTGTCAAGTACGTGTTTGGTGCAGAACTATAAAGCTCTGTTTTCTCAAAGTTTTTCCTCATGGCCTCATCTTGCCTGTTCTTAGACCTGTGAAGATCACAAAGGAAAACATTAATATCTCATTTTCCTGGGGAGGACTCCAGAAAAATGGCAAACATGTAAATGGATTTCACCACCAAATAACGTCTGAACACTATAAATGTGTCAGGTAAGTAACGTGTAGTTATCATTTAAAGTTGAACTAGAAATCATTGCATTTCTTCATTCCAAGCTAAGAAGAAAATTAAACAATGTAAGAGGCAGGGGAAATGGCTGTCACTGGTCTGTGTAAAGCAGGTTAAACTGCCACCTACTGAAATGGCTCCTGTTTGAGATTTTACTGTTTTAACCACTTTTAAATTATGTTTTCTTCACCTTCCTGTTAACCTTCTCCTACATTGCAATCACGAGTTCACACAGCACTGAAAATCTTAGGAGAGCCATCCCTCAAAGTGTAGTGCCAACACCAAGTAACACAGTTGATAGTCAATTCACACAGTGAGGCAATGAGGCCAAAGAGTATAGCACTAGCGCTACTTGATCCTGAGCTTGGGTACCATACTCAAACAGTAGTTAAACTACTCACTTAAAAGTATATGGGTATTCTGATCTACAATTTGACAACAATATGGCTATATAAAAGATACAGTATAAGGATACCGTGGACCGGAATGCCATGCAACCCAAACTTGGAAAGTAATAGTAACTGCTTTTGGCAAATGTTTTAAAAAACAGCCCTTTTGTAAACATTGTTTCCCATAATCATAATCTCTAGCTTGATTTTGTATCATTAAAAACTTGCAAATGTCTTTCACTGATAATTATTCTTTATATACAAATTGTTAACATTAGCTTTCTTTTCCCTATATGTTATAAAATATATTATATATAAATATGCATGTTTATATTTAGAATATTTATATGAAATACTCTTATATAACATAGAAATGAAATATAGAGTTTTATATGCCATATCACATATATAGGATATGTAAATATATTTTTACTTACTTTAGTTGTTCATGAAATAATGACTTTGTCATTTCTACCATTTCCTGACAGAGTTCCTCATATTGGATTGGTTCAGCTTTATATGCGGTTTGATGAGTTAATTCTTCTGGGTGTTTGGGCTGCAGGTTTGGAATTTTGGGTTCCTGTGGCCTCATGCATGAAGCTTTATGGTTTCCTCTTCTGTCATCAAAAGTTCGTTGATTTTCTTCTCTTTCCTGACAGAGATTTAAAACACATGTATTTAAAGTTGTAATAACAATAAATGTATGTGTTTGGTTCCTGTAGTTTCAAGCCAATGATTCTGAATGTTTAAATATGTGAAAAAGATGGCCTTAAAATATTTATCAACAGCCGGGCATTGGTGGCACACACCTTTAGTCCCAATACGCAGGAGGCAGAAGCAGGTGGATCTCTGTGAGTTCGAGGCCAGCCTGGTCTATAGAGCTAGTTCCAGGACAGGCTCCAAAACAATACAGAGAAACCCTGTCTCAAAAAACAAAACAAAAAAATATTTGTCAACAATATTGTCTGCATTTGATCTGAATTAAAAACATAAAAAAACAAGATTTAGGCTGATATGTATATATTTGTGTCTGTGTGTGGTGTTAAGCTCTGAGTCATTGGTGGTAAAGTCTATATTACTGAATCACTCACATATTATTGTCATTGAATTAGATATTTTTTGGAAAAATTATAGGAAAGAACATAGGGACAGAGAACTTAAATTAACATCATTTTCAGAATATGTTAATCTCTGGACCTAGAATAAAAATCACAAGTGCTTCAGGAAGACTGACATGAAGGTTGTAAAGGCCAATGGTGCAAAATGATGCAAAAGCCTAAGGAAAGAAAACTGCTCTTACACAGCAGCTACAAGAATGCTGGCAGAGGAAAGACTTAGAAAAATCACCCCGAGAGGAACTGATAACTGAGCTGGGGTCAAAGGAACTGAAGCATTTCCTTAGAGAGAGAGTGAGCCCCTTCCATCCTAACCACGTCAGGTCAGCACACTGTGACCTGACCTGTCTGTCTTCCACACCGCCCTCACAGTGAACAGGAAGTGGTTTTAAGACTGATTGTTTGATACGGTTGAGTGCAAATGAGCCTAATTTTGAGTGGAAGGATTATTAGTTTTAGAACCTGTCATTTTAAATGTTCATTGCACAAATTATGGAATCTAGGAGAATCTTGAGCTTGCTCTTATTGAACAGAATGTGGCAAAAGTGATGCCTGTGACTTCAGTAGTTTATAAAGTGTTTTACATTAGTCTCATCTCCATGCTGTGAGGACATCAGTCTACAAGAAGAGTCTAGGTGTCCCCAGATGAGCATGCCACAACCCTGCTGCAAATGAAGCTCCTGTCAGAACCCAGCACCATTGGATGTGTGAAGGATAATACTCCAGAGAACTCCAGCCTCCCATCTTCCAACCAGACATCATCTGAGAAGAGAGGACCTACCTATCCCTGTCATTATTTTCTCAAACTTGAGATTGTAAAACAAAGTGAATATTGTTTTATCTGCTAAATTTTTCATAATTAAAATAAATTGTCAAATGATGGATTTGAAAATATTCAGAGTAGAACTTCACAGAATTTAGTTTCTTTTGAAGAAGCCCATAATAACTAAGAGTAAATTACTAATGACAATGCTAATGAGAAGCGACAGAAAGCCACCAGTCATCAGAACTCCCGAGGAAGAAGATTGGTATGTAAAATAAAAATAAAGGTTGCTTTTTAAGAAATAAATTTAATTTAATTTTAAAAGCCTTTAATCAAATAAATTCTTGCAAGTGCTAAATTCCTATTAAAAATACATCAGCATTGTCACAGTGAATATCAGAAAACAATATAAATAACTATTAACAAAAATGAATTGTATTCCTAAAAGAGATACTTTAATCATATGCTTAGGTGGCAAGATTCATCTCAGAATTCCAGAGGATGTGAGAAAGTATGTCCATAAGCTTGTGTATAGGAGAAGCAGAATTCACATTTCCATATTGGTTGTGATTTGAAGACTTTTTATATCACTCTGACCTGAGCTACTAGTCCAAGTAAAAACCAGGAAAAGGGACAATATTACTTCATTTTGACAACTGAAATATTTGATTAAAGAAATTACTTTTATTATACAATTTTGCAGCAATAATGACATTGAACAAAATTGATATAAATATACACTAAATTAGACAGCAATGAAGGTCATTTTTCTATTCTTTTTTTGGTGTAGCAAATATTTCACAAAAAGTATTCATCTAAGATTCCTTTAAATTCTAAATGTCCAAATGAGATTATATCTTTAGATATGGATCTTAGGATGCTGGCTGAAGACTGTAAGTTTACTATGATTGAGAGACCTAACAAAATGACTTAAAATCTAAGCCAATCCCTTTCAGAGTTTACCTGGAATGATAGGAAACAATGCAAGTTTTATAAGATTTAATTTCCAAATGCCTGTAAAGATATGGATCATAATAAACATAGCTGATGACTTAAATGGCTATTTGTTGAAAATGCCATCTCCAAGGATTTTTTTAAATGTATAAAATTGGTTTTCTTTCTTTATTAACATAAAATTGTGAGATTACTTTAAGGTGAATAGATTAATTAACTCAGTGTGCCACCAAATTAAGAACATACTTTTATCAGGTTATTTGAAACCAAAGAAAAATGTACAGCATATCCTCACCCTATTTAGGAAGCCTGCCAAACTCTCAGCAAAGGCCTGTGGCCTTGAGCTTGGGATCAATGGTTCTCTTCCCACAAAACTTCTGCTGTTTTCCCAAGCACTGTTGAGTCTGTCAGCTGCAAATCCTGGAGCAGGGCTGGTGGTGCACATGTTTGGTGCAGAACTATAAGGCTTCATTTCCTCAGAGTTCTTCCTCATTGCCTCAGCTTGTCTGCCCTTAGACCTGTGAAGATCACAAAGAAAACATTAGCATCTCGTTTTTTCCCACGAAGAACTCCTTAAAATGGCAAAAGAATAAATGAATTTTCCTACTAGACAATGTCTGAACACTGTAAATGTGTCAGGTAAGTAATGTGTACAGTTATGATTTAGAATTGGGCTGGAATTATATTTCTGCATTCTAAACTAAAAAGAAAATCAAACAATGTAAGAGGCAGGGAAATGGCTGTCACTGGTCTGTGATTTAGCAGGTTAAACTGCTACCTATTGGAATGGCTCTCCTGGAAGGTTTTTGATGGTGTAATTAGAAACATTTGTATCTGCCAAGGTCAGTGTGAGATGATGTCTGTGATAACTTCCTTCATTGTAACTGGAGCTAAAAGGAAGGAAAGTGTCTTCTGAGACAGCTCATCCCATGCCATGATAGACAGGGCCACCCATTCTGTTTCCACATATCTCACCCAATAAACAAGGAACTGTTGTAACTACTTTTAAATTATGCTTTTCTTCACTTTCTTGTTAACCTTCTACATCATGAGTTGCAATCAGGGGTTCACACAGCACAGGAAAACTTAGGAGGACCATTCCTCCAAATCCCATATTGGTAACATCAAGTAACACAGTTGAAAGTCAATTTATAGTAGTATTAGTACTACACATCTCAGTGCTTATGTTATCACATTCAGAGAACACTTAAGCTTTTAATTTATAAGTACATGCTTATTCTATTCTGCAACTTTAAAAAGAATGTATGTTGTAGAATATTAGTTAAAGATGTTATATTTGTTTAAGCCGTGGAACATTTGTTTAAGGATGCAAAGAGATGTTGCTTTATTTTACATTGCATTTCTGTTTAACTCCATTCAGTGTGTTATTTTGCCTGATTGGTCTAATAATGAGCTGAATGGCCAATAGATAGGCAAGGGAGGGATAGGCAGGGCTGGCAGGCAGAGAGAATAAACAGGAAGAGAAATCTGGGAAGAGGGATCAAGGTTCAAAAGAAAAGGAGGAGGCTAGGACTCCATGGGCCAGACACCCAGCTACACAGCAAGTCACAGGATAAGAAGGAAAGCTATACAGAAATAGAGATAGGCAGGATAATTTAAGTTAAGAAAAGTTGGCAAGATACAAGCCAAGCTGAGGTTGGGCATTCATAAGTAATAATAATTCTCCATGTATGCATTTGGGAGTTGGGTGGAGGCCCCCCAAAGAACCAAAGAGTAAAAAAATCAAACAATACCAAATATAACTAAATGTAAAAACATGTAAATAAGGATACAATATGAAGATGCTGTGGGGGTAAGCACCATGAAACCCAAACGTAGAAGGTAAAAGATACTATGTTTGAGCAAACACTTTAAAAGAACATTCACTTACTAAAATTGCTTTCCAAATTATATTCTATAGCTTGATTTCACATCACAAAATTTCATCAATATCTTCCCCTAATAATTATTTTTCAAAGACAAATTACTGACCTTAGTTGTTTATGAGATGATCGCTTTGTCATTTTTACTCTTTTTAGATAGGTGTCCTTACACGCTTTTGATTCAGCTTTGTGTGATCCTTGATGAGTAGTGTCTTCTGAGTGTTCAGGTCGCTGATTTGCAAATCTGGATTCCTGTGGATTTATGAACAAGGTATCTTGATTTCCTAGTGTGTTATCAACAGTTTCTTGATCTTCTGCTATTCGCTGAAAGAAATTTAAAGGATATCTTTTCCTTTAACTGTGACAGCAATAAAAACTGTGCATTTGTTTCTGTTAGCTCTGGGCCAGTAACTCTGAACATTTAAATATGTGAAAAACATAGGTTATTCAAAATATTAAATATTAACAATATTTTAGCTTAAGCTATTTATTAAAACTTTTATAGTCAATATTGTCTACATGTGACCTGAATCCTACAAAACTGATACATGTTTATGTGTGCCCATTTGTTTTTGTGTGTAGAATTGGGTGTGGCAGTAAGTCTGTTACACTGAAGGTTAGGTACTGACATGCCTCCTCAACTCTAGATCTTTATCAAGTTTGGAATTCCATGCTTTGGAAAACTCACAGAAATCAATTGAAAGTATTAATAATAAGTGATGTATATTTAAGTTACTTTCAGAGTGTGTCATACTCTGGACGACCTAGACTATGAAATCACAAGTGCTTCAGAAAGTCTCCTGTCAGATATCTGGTGTCAGTTAAAACACTGACATAAGGACATCAAACTGTGAAAAACTGACAAAAAAGCCTTGAGGTATGGAGCTGTCATTGCACAGCAGCTACAAGAACGCTGGCAGGAAAACCGAGAAGAATCACCTCTGGGAGGAACTAATAACTGAGCTGGGATCAAACGGAACTGAAGCATTTCCTTAGAGAATGAGCCCTTTCCATCCTAACCACATCAGGTCAGCACACTGTGACCTTCCCTGTCATCTACACCGCCCTCACAATGAACAGGAAGTGGTTTTACATTTGTAAGTTATAGTTGGCTTCATCCATAATATTATCTGATAGAAGTTGTGTGCAAAAACAAGACCAATTTTCAATAGTTGGATTACATAACTTTTAAGGACATAATATCCTAACTTGAGAACCTGTCATTTTTAAGTACTCATTCCACAAATGATGGGATATAGGGAAACCTAAATTTGTTGTAATGAACGGAATATAATAAATTTTGCCTCATGACTTCCTGTGTAGATTAGAAAGTGCTTTATATCAACCCGATCACCGTGTTGTGAGGACATTAGTCTGCATGAGTGTTCCATCTCCCTACTGCAAATGAAGATCCTGCCACATAGTACTAATACCCAAAGCAAGCAGACACATTAGGGAATAAGGCTCCACAGGACCCCAGACGCCCACCCTTTCAATCTGTCCCAACTGAATGTCTTGGGAGAAGATTTTCCCAGTCTGTACATTTTTGAACAAAATAATATTGTTTAATTCACTCAGTTTTGGGTAATTGAGAAATGGTCAAATAATAAATCTGTAATTAGCCAGCATAGACCTCCACAGAATTAGTCTCTGTTAAAGAAGGCCATTCTAGTGGGGGACAGAAGTTTTATGTCATGTCCTTTCAATTCAAATTCTTATGACTCTGTAAGTGTTTTTAATTTTCTAAAAGGAAAATTGGGAGTTCAGAATGACGGGAAATGGGGATAAGTACAATTTCAAGTGTAGTTGGCAGATGGCTGTGCTTGCAGTCACTCATCAGCTGCTTCTGATCTCATCCTTGTTCTGTGCAGCCTCCAGCAATGATCCCTGAGTCTTTAGAGGAAGGACAGCAATGGAAATGTTCTATTTAGGGCTGACTTGTTTATTATCATTATAAACGAGTGTTGTCAGTGTAGAATGTGACTAGAGTGTGTAATCACTGAATTTTATTTGGTACTGGCAAAACAACAGATATTGAAATTCTACCAATGACTGAATTTCATTTTCCATATCCTAATTATTGCTTAATCATCCCCTGAAATTAAATGCATCCTGGTGGTATGGAGGCAGTCATATAATGCCTGTTGCTTGGTTTTTAGACATCAACTTTGCTTTGAAACAGGAGAGAATAAATTGCTTGTTATTTGAATAAAAAAACTTACAACTCTTTCATTGATAACAAGTTTTTAAAAACATTTCACAGTTGAAGCATTGAGAGGTTTATTTTCCAAACTGGTGTTTTTTTGGGTCCCTTAGCTTCTGGAAAGTACCTCATGTCTTGGTATATCAAATGGACTCTCCATTTCAAATTGTCTGGTGTTGGGAATCTCAGAGAAACTATGCTTTCCATTTTCACGCTCAGTTGTTGTTTTTGTCCATTTAAAACATTTTTTACTTCTACAAGAATGTAAAGACTGAGTTAGTGACAGCTTCTAAAGCACAAACATTTGCTAACATATAGATTATGACTCCCATTTGTTTCAAACTAACTATACTGGAAATCATTTAAAAATTATAACCATAAGTAAATATGAAGGATATTATTAAGACACAGACACATCATAAAAATAGCTCATATTGAGCCCAAATAAGAAACAAGCAGATATAGGACTTTCTGTAAAGTCTCATGACCTAAATTCAGTCCCCATAATCCACAAAAGGGCAAAGATGAGAACTGACATTGTGATATTGTTCTCTGACCTTTATACATACACACACACACCCAGAGAGAGTTAGAGAGAGAGAGAGAATAAAAATGCTTATTTATGATATATAGTATAAAATTATATATGTATGTATGTATAATAATCTTTCTCTCTGTGTGTATACTGTTACGCTTCCTTATCTATGGGTTTATAACCAAGGATCAAACAGGTCTCAATGGAAATATTGCAAAATACTGAATATGCACTGAGGCAGATCTTAATTCTATTCTTTAGTTACTGAATTTAGTATAAACTTGAATTATATATGGTATTAAAACATGTTGCACTCCACAAACTGACAGTAAAACCTCATTGTTGAAGAAAACACTCACACAGCTCATTGAACATGGAAAGGTTGAACTGGTGCCTATATAGAACTTCACCCTTACATTATAGTGTCTTTTAAATGGGAAGGTACTTTTTAGGCTACCAAAGAAAAACTTAAAACACCAACCCAGTCACAAAACCTTTGATCTACATTGCTGTCCTGCCTGCAGAATATGCTAGGACAATGATGGCACAAAGCTTGTGGCAGTAACTAACCTATACCTGATTTGGCCCACTCCACGAAATGGAACACATACCTGATACTACTTGGATGACCAAGACCCAGAGACTAGATAACCCAGAAACCAAATACCACTGGTCTTTTTTTTAAGTGATAAAATGATGCCTAAAAGTAGTCTGCTATGCTCTCAGATCAGTACTTTATTCGGCCATCATCAGAGAAACTTCCTGCTGCATTAGATGAGAAAAAATAGAGAGACCCACAGCCAGATACTGGATAAATATGAGAGGGAGAGGTGATGAGCAAAGGGGTCAAAACCAGGCTGGAGAAACCCACAGAATCAACTGACCTGAACAAGAGGGAGCTCATGTACCCCAGTCTGCTAGCTGGGAAGTCAGCATAGGACTGATCCAGACTCCCTGAATGTGGGTGCTAGTTAGGAGGACTGGGCAGTCTATGGGGCTTCTGGTAATGGATCAGTATTTATCTCTAGTATAGGAATGGACTTTGGGAGCCCATCCCACATAGAGAGATACTCCCTCAGCATAGACACATGGGAGAGGGATGTGAAGGAGAAACTGGGAGGAGTAGAGGGACAGGAAACTGTAAAAGGGAGAAAACCAACTTTTAAAACTTTTAAAAGAATGAAACTTTGTGAGGGAAAAAAGTAACCTACAAATGTTAGAATTATTGGAAGGCATGACTATGTTATGAATAGCATGTCATTTTGTATAAGGGACTTGAAGATACAAAGTGCTGTGATTTGGAAGGTAGTATATGCCTATAGACTCCTGGGAGTGAGGACTTGGTCTGTATCTGGTGTTGCTGATTGGAGAGACTGTGGTTCCTGAGAACATGGGGCCTGGCTTGACATGTAGGCCCATGGGGGAAGTACTATAGGGCCATACACTGATGCCACTTCTGGGTCTGTCTGCTTCCTGGTCAATGGGGTTGTGAACAAAGTGGGCAAGCAAGCTAATGCTGCCACAGAAGGCACTACCCTCCACCATGCCTTCTCTGGCAAGATGGGCACTATTGTCTCAGATTATGTTGTAGATTAAAACCTTCCTCCTTTAAGTTGTTTTTTATCAGGCATTTGATTGGAGACATGGCAAAAAGTAAACTACATGAATTTGTGTTTCTGCCAGGTTTTCTCAAGCCAATCCATTCCCGATGCCAAGGGATAGGTAAGATGGCATGTGAAAAGCAATCCGTATCTATCACCGTTGTTTTCTTCTAGGCAAGGAATGCTTTTACAACAAAGTGAGAATAACAAAATATTTAGTATTTGTAAACCAAGCAGAGTTGTAAGGCCTTTGGAACTTGAATTCAGTCACTACTTCAAGCCAGAGACAGTGACAATGTGATCTGCATTTATTTCCCCAAATGAATGTGGCATCAAACCACCGTAACCTTCCCGAAATTAGGCAGGTGAAGTGTATCTCACAGGAGCTGCATGCGTCCTTTGTACTCTGCCCACCTGAGCCCCATGGAGGAAGACCTTCGAGCTGCTTACATTCCCCTTTGAAGAGCTCTGAGAAATTGCCTACCCTTTCTTCAAGGATAGCTAAATACTGTATTATCTCACCAGGGACTGCTACACACAAAATGATTTTCTGAATTCACCATGGTCCCATGTTTTGTTCAAACAAAGAAAAAGAAGCAGCAACTATAACTTCTTTAGTAACAATCCGATTTTGCTTCATTTAAGAGAAAGGTCCAGTACACACACACACAAACACACACACACACACACACACACACACACACACACACACACACACAAAGCCTTAGCTCTAGCACCCAATCAAATGAATAACTATAACCATATATAGACCAGCAGATAGAAAGACCGACAGACAAAATGTGCATCTTAGAAGTATATGGAAAACACCTAGAAAATGGAACATATCTGGTTTATACTGTGACTGAAAAACAGAGCAAGGACATATAAGTAGACTCAAGATACTTTTTGATGTTGTTGAAAGAGAATACAGATGGGCTATTTCATATTAAAGTATTGGCTGGAGCATTGAATGGAAGGACACTATTAAAAGAATGAAAGAACAGGACATTCTGGACAAAAATGCAGAGTCAATAAAGAGTTAGCTGAACATCAAAGACTTGATGACTGGTAACATTTTCAACACCATTAAAGAAGAATGTGGGCTTGTACACTAGCTTGAGATTTTGTTTTGCATTTCTGAACTAAATTTTAAACTGCCATAATTTAGGTCAGAAAATGCAAGTGCAAAATGAATTATTACTTTGAGTTTTTTACAATTACAGTGAAAGCAAAGAATGAATGCTGAGACATATATGCAATACTAAAATCTTACAGAGTTTTCTCTTTAGCTGCTTCCTGGTGTTTCTTCTTTGTGTGATCCAGCTCAGGTTGTGGACACAGAACTAACTTGATGGGTTCTTGATTGAAATCTTCATTGTTGTCTACAGACTTTTAAAAGGAAAGGTGGGAAGATAGTTTAAAAAAAAAGAAAGATGTTCTTTCCAGGACCTGTTGCTTCCCACAGGTTCACCAAGCTAGGGAGATTCTCCAAGTGTTGCAAATCACATGCTCACAGACACATAAGCCAAAGCAGAGGGCTTTCCCTATAGCAACTCAAACTGATGGGCATTTTCGTCCTTTTATATTGCCGAAATCTATATAACAAAGCAGAACTTTTTAACTTATTCCTGTTTATAGTTTTTTATTTTCTGGTTGTTGCTGCATTTGGTTTCTGGTGGTGCCTTAGACTGAGGGTGCCCCATAAATATTTCATTTTTGGAAAATGCCTGCTTCTGATTATGTATTTTATGTGCAATGGACTCTAAATGAAAACACCATTACTAACATCATGCATTCACACAGGGGTTTGCCTTTTTTTTATCAACTAATACTCTAGAAATGCTGAACAGGACCAGGGTTAGGGTTCTGCAGCTTAGTGTCTTCTGTCAAACCTGACCAACTGGGTTCTAAAGCCTTAGAGAACACATGTTTGGGAGAGACCATGAACTTCCCCAAGTTGTACTCTGGCCTCAATATGACTGTTGTTTATCCCCTAGAAAACATTAAATAAGTAAGAACTAATTTTTAAAACATTTTAAAAACTAAACAATTCAGTAGTTTGCACATGGAAAACTCAAATCATATTACTCAGAGGGAAAAATATTAATAATACTAACCACACCCAGGTTGGCTGTTCTGTACTGTTTTAAACACTGTGGGCTTGAAGTGGGAGTCACCATGTTCTCTTGGGTAAAGAGGCTGCCCAAATGCTTGTGAAAATTTGTGACAGAGGGACACTCTGAGGCAAGTATGTTTAGTAATGACATGTTGTGCTGAGTCACCAAGTGGAACTGGTCTGTGACTGCCTTCAGCTGAGCTTCAGTCCTGTGAAGAATGGGAGGCAGATAGTATTTCATTAACTCATTGGTTCTCCATCTCCCACACAGCACTACACAATGAAGAAGGAAGTATCTGGAAGCACCATGTGAGATACTCCCCTTGTCATGCCGTGTTCATATTTGCCTGTGCCATGTGTGTGCCTTTATGGAGAGGGCACATGATCAAAAGAATGGTTTGTGTCTAGGTTTTAGGGTCAAAGTTGGTTACCCAGTGGTAGGCAATATCCAGAAGGGGCCGTCAGTCATCCTTGACAAGGAGAGTTCATGTTACAACACTCTAGAAATATTCAGGTGTTTAACACTCATATTTCTATAAATGCTGACAAGCAAATTTTTAGCAGTGTAAGTATACTGATTAAAATTAGCAACAAATTTATTGAAAAAAATCTAAGAAACCAGGATAAATATGAGAATACTAAGAGAACATGCCAGTATATGTACCAATAAAGAAGAAATGATATCCTGATTAGCTTCCCACATTTGTCATCATAATTTTCCAAGATTATACTTTCTGGTGAGTCTTTATGTCTTAATACTATATTGTTAAAATATACTAAATTACTATCCTACATGATTCTTTGACCTGACTTACTCCCTCAGTTTATATGACTGATGAAGTTTGTTATAGTCTTCCAGAGCCAAGAAGTCATCATGAGATTGGATCATTTCAGAGATTTTGCTTTCCAGACTTTGAATTCTGAGATCCAAATATCTCATTACTGAAGTAGCATGCATTTCTCTGATGTTATTAACAAATTCTTGACTTGTTTGTGTCTGAAAAGAATTAAAATGATTGAGAAGTTATACAATTAAATAACTGTAACATAAGTAACAGTGCATTACATTTCTGTAGCTCTAGACAATAATTTTGCTGAAACTATAAACGTGTTGAAAAATGATAGGCTATACATTTTTTCTTGATTATGGCATTTTATCAAAGTTACAAAATATTGATTCTTTATTGTGTGTGGGCACACATCTGATTTCAGTTGCTTAAGTCTGAAGGAGATTTGAACCCTTATTAATCAATATATCATTCCATATTTTCCTTTCCTTGGTAACTAAGAAAAAAAAGGTTGTTGAAATGATTTCAATGAAGGAAATGAGATAACATCAGGATTAAGCCACAAAGGGTGAGGAACTTGAACCCAGCTCTTCTTTCTTTGTATTACATTTGCTCACATTGGAAGAGCAGCAGGCCCAACAAGGCTTTACATACCCCACAAGTTGCCTGCAAGACTTTCAAATCCCAATAACCAACAGCACTTCTACACCCACAAGAAAGCTCAGTCAGCAAAGGTCATTCCTTAGGTATCAGAAGACTGTTAAACAGAACTTTAGGAACCTTGTTAGCATCAGGTAAGGAAACCAACTCATGGATTCAATGACCCCACTGCACTGATGCTTTCCTAGTGGAGTATTGTACTTTGTCCATTCCCATAAACAAAATGCATGAGTGTCAGAATCTTCCCTTTTTGATAAACAGTTATATACCTTTGATTAGACAGTTATAAATCAGCATTCAAGAATTATATAGACCAATGCATGCCAAGGATGGATGGACTCTAAAGTCCTAGGAAGGTTAATGGACAAAAGTAAATTGAAAAACATTATCTAAACCTTAACACTAAGGGAGTCCATTTTCTACTACAGCCCTTTGCCCTAGCAGCTGTTTCTCCACTCCAACACTTATTAATTCCTTTTTGAGATTCTAATGAGAAAAACACTTTTCCTGGGAAAGCAATTATGAACAGTGATTACTATTATTAAGTCTCAAAAATCATTATAATTAATTCCACAAACCCATTGACAGGTTCAGATTCCAAGATGATTTAAGAAAGATTCAAAGTTTTGTCAACTTTGAATAGTACTGAGTAATAGTACTCAAATAAATATCTACACAAATTTCCAGCACAATTGTTTGTCAGAATGGACAAAATATAAAAACAAAATCTGAGAGTTTATTGTTGAATGAACATAGTGAAATATTACATATTTAAAACTTTGGTTTAAAATAACAGCAATCTTTTCTATTAACATATTATTATCAACATAGTTAATTATATAGATTTGTTCAACTTGTTTATAGTTGACAGCACTTGCACTAGTGGTAAGAATATGAACACAACAAATATTTTTACCCACTGGAATTCTACTGTTGTCCAGAATATTCCTACATCCAATAACTAGAGAAAGAAAATTTCCAATTCAAAGTGGTGAAAATTAATAAAAGGCTGACTTACTAGATTATGAGATCTTACCAAACTTTTGTCTTTACTTAATAGCTTTTTCTCAAGTTGTTCTATTGTCTCTGCTTGCTTTTTGACCGTTTCTTCTAATGTGAAAATTTCTTGTTCAACCCTAAAAGGCATATTTCCATTAATTACTCTGAAGTTAATTATCAAATCAGCAAAAATGTAAGGTACATTTGAATCTGGACCTAATTGTATGTATTTCTGATGAAATGTTTGAAAGGTTTTGCTAAATGCATCTAATTTTCATCTGGGCTTTGTAATTACCTTGAAGAATGAAGCTGTGGTGTGAGTAATTAGACATTAGCTCTTTTTTGTTTTGTTTTGCTGTGGATTGAACCCTAGGCTGTTAAACTTACTCATTTCACACCCTATAAGTCTCACTGCAAATAATGCATGGAGGACTTTTCTAGACCCCAGACTGATACATGTATCATACAAGGGTTGTATTTCCAGGACCGCGTAGCTTATTTGTATTAAAATATTCAAGCACTTTGGTACATGACTTTAAGCCGTACTTTTGCAGCTGTCCCTGCATTGCCCTGTCAGTCTCTTCAGCCTGTGTCTCTTGACCCCGTGCTTCTTGCAACTAAACGGAAAGAAAAAGACAGGACACATTACTACTCAGGCACACATCTGCTCACCAACTGTTCATGTGCTGAAATCCTACCCTACCTTTATGTTCTTCCTCAGAGTTTAGTGAATTGTTGCAACAGGAACCTCATGGCTCACTAAACCAGTCTCTCAAGTGAAAGCTTGTTGACCCTGGTCTTGGACTGAAACACATTATCCTTGGTTTTCAATTTGAAATCTTTTTTTTTTTTTCTTGAGATAGTATCTCATTATGTAGTCTAAGCTGCCCTGAAACTCACAATTCTCTTGGTGTCCACTTCTCATGTGCGGCAGTCAAGCTATCTATCATGACATTTAACATTTGAAATGATTTTCAGAAATTCTAATTGACAAAGTTGGCATCATGGGCAAAACTGGAAGATGTCATTATGGTAAGTATTTCTATTTTTACATTCAAAACACCTCTTTATTAACTGTAACTTGCAAATTGAAATATATCAGTCTCCTGTTGGGTAACTAAATGCTTCATAGGAGCATGTAAGAGGCAGAGTCTGAACAAATGAAATGCGTGAACATATGGTTCCATAATCACTGGCCATGCATTTAGAAGAAGTTAATTTGACATACCTCAACTTACTTATCTGTAAAATAGAAATAGTAATACATAATTCAATGGACTCCAGAGAAGATTGGACTAGGAAACTATGTAAAGAATTTAGAGGGCTGTGGATATATTAGGAACTGTCTATCTTTGCTATTGGCTTTAGAATCAGGGTTACATTAGATGTTCTAACAGAATTTGGAATTTTAGGCAGAATGTTTGAGAAAGGAAGAGGTTGTGTACATGCTGCACACTATTGAGAGGGACAGGAATGAGAATGTGTAACTTTGTATAAGTCCCAGAACTTCATCAAACACTCAGCAGTTACATTAGCCAAAACTCCACTTCCACTCACAATAATGCACACTATCTTTCAGTAGTACTCTGTAGTAGATTGCACATGCTTCAGTGAATGGCCCCACACTATGCATGTGAGTAGCAGCAATTGGGTTAGGGATGATATTATAAATGTTAATGATAATCATGATGATGATGGTAAAAGGAATGATAGATATAGACATGGCTCAGCAGTTAAAAACACTTGTTTTCTTCTAGAGGACCTGTGTTGCTTTCTAGAATCCAAGTCAAGTAGTTTACAGTGCTCTATAATTAAGCTTCAAGGATTTGACTAGACATACACACACACACACACACACACACACACACACACACACAGAGGTGGGGGAATAGATAAAAAAACCCTTTAACTGTAAAAGCTTATGATGTTTGGAGGAACATATATCTAGGGGGATTTGCAGAGGGGAGTGAGGAGGGATATGATCAAATACATTGCATATGCTTATGAAATTATTCAGCACTAAGTAAAATATAATAAAAACAATAGGAAGTTCTCAGTTCTTAGGTGTAGGCAAACATGCTTTGTAATTTTTTTCAGAAAAGTTTTAAAATCTAGACAGGATATATTTCAATAAAAATACTTAAAGTAACTTAAAGTTGGGTGGATTAAACCCAACTTACTTTCCATTCTTTCACTTGGCAAACATATAAAGCAGGACTTGAAGGCCAAGATTTACAATGGATAGTTTACAAATTAAAATCTCTGAATTTGATTTCCAGGTGATGTAAATACAGTACACTTTCATGGCACACATCAAAGTTTGCTTAAAAGCTGCCCACATGCACAGCAGAGCCCACATGAGATGGTGCACTATAACGGTACAGTAAACATCTCAAATTCATCAAGCACATACTTACAGTGTTCACACAGTGCTAAATATTACAGGATACCCATTCCCTGATCATGGTCTTATCTTAAACAAACCGGACTCCCTTACTAAACATGTAAAGATTATGTCACATAATTGAGAAAAATTAGAAGTATGAATTTTCACCAGTAAATTTACCTTCCTCATGTCATTTCTGAGATGCCTCAGTTCCATGTCTTGTGCTATAAGGCACATTTCAAGTTGCTGTTTTTCTTTTTTATGTTGCTCTTCTTTTTCAGTTAATTGCTTCTTAATTTTTTCATAGAGATAATGAGCATTTCTTGATTGTGTTTCTTGTTTTCCAGCCAATCTGCAAATTGAACAGGCTGGCATTAAAATTCATTTTGATAGAAAGCAAGCTTATTTTTTATTGTACAGCATTTTATGTTGTCAAGTGCTTTCCTTTACAATGTCATCCCTGCTTTCACAAGTCAATCAGTCTCTCCAAAGGATATGTGGAATAGAAAATTTATAACAAAGAACTATTAAGGGAATTGATCAGGCTCTGTTACTAGCAATGCTGTGACTACAGAAGAGGATCTTTTAAATTTTTCAGTAGAGTGAAAAGTTGAAAATTAAATATGTGTTTTGTTGCTGCTGCTAAAGCATTGTCTTTCTTAAATACTAATAATGAGCTTTTTTGAATTAACAGAAAAATGAAGTTTCTCATTGCTGATAAGGGGGAAAACAATATGGACAAAAACCCAATTGCTTCTTTAAAGGTACTATGTGCTATATAGATTAAAATTATATATATAAAACAAAATAAAATTATATATGCATATATAATTTTAAACTACACACACACACACACAGAGAGAGAGAGAGAGAGAGAGAGAGAGAGAGAGAGAGATTCAGTCAGAGCAGTAAGACAAGAGAAATAGTTTAAAGGGTAGAACATAGGAAAGGAAGGAAGATGTCAAAATACCCATTTGCAAAGGACACAGTTGTATATTCCAATGTAATTCTAAAATTAAGTACCAACCCTGAAGTCATTCAACCAACAAATGGGCTAATGAACTTCATAGACTTTTTTCAAATTGAGAAACATGGAAGAATGCCAGAAGGCAATGCAGCACTTAAAACTTTTCTCATAAAAATCAGTAGTCTGCCCTAACTGTTCACACTTCTTTAACTTAAATAAACTTAATCATACCCCACACCAACGAGCTCTAGTTGCTGCTCTGTAGTTTTATGTCTGAGCTGTGATTTCTCCTTTTCTGTTTCTTGTGGTTTCTTTAGCACTTCATTAGCTTGGTTTTCCATTCTCTTACTTTTTTCTGTAAGTAACTCTGAGTGACTTTGTTTTTGTTCTATTTTCATTTTGTATGAATGAACTGCATCCTGGATTTCCAACAGTCTTCCAGAATCTACATCAGGAAAAGGGTAGGTAGAAATTAAATGCATGAGCACTTTCTGCATACAAAGGTTTGTACGTTTTCATATTCTGTCATTCATGGCAAACAAATGCAGACTGAATGACTATAGTCTGTAGCACATTATACTAAGATTTTTCAGATAAGGCAGACTAATTAACTGCTTTACTTAGCTTAAATTTGATGGAGAAGACAGATAAAAATGAACATTATAAATATACATGGATACTATGCCAAAGCAGAGTCCTGTGGTCCCATAGAGTATCTTTTCTTGCTATGGCCAGGAAGATTTTCCACAGAAGGAGATTGATACACTAGGAATTAAAGGATGAATAGTAAACATCTATTCAGAAGGTGAAGAAGACCCTAGCTAATATAAATAGTGGGCTTGAACTTTGTTGCAATATCCTTCTAAGAAAGAACTAGAAATAGACTCTGATTGTACTACACAAACAAATAAAACACTACAAAGAATGTGAGAGCTGGAAATGGAATATAGAACTATATGTACATATATATATATATATGTATATATATACATATATATACACATATATGGAGAGAGAGAGAGAGAGAGAGAGAGAGAGAGAGAGAGAGAGAGAGAGAGAGAGAGAGAGAATGTGCTAAATGGAAATGGAGTCACCCTTTAACAGAACAACAGTGCCCCTACTAAACACTACAGGCTAACAAATAAAAAGCCCAGTGCCAGAAACAGATGAACTCTTTTGGAATTGGCCAGTGAAGTCCCAAAGGTCACAAAATATTACAAGTTGTTGCCAATGTTATGATTGTCCTGCAGAATTTGACAGTCAGACTCTATTTCTGAAGACACCATGAAGCTTAGTCGTAGCATTTAGACACATTAGGCTATTACTGATCTGGAAGATCAATCCCTGTTTGCTAGCTTTCATAGTACTGGAGGGTACTGTGCATGGTCCCAGAGGAGAAAAATCACCTATCTTATCCAGCTGTGAACCCCAAGAGCTATAACCAGTGCCTGGCCTAGTAAGATGCTGAGTGGTAAAATAGTGGCATGAGTATTGTGGGAATGATCAGCCACTCTTTGATTGGTTCTAAGCCTTACTCCACAAAATGAAACCCACATCTGGTACCATTTCTGAGCCAAGAAGTTGTAGCTGGAAAGGTCATAGACCTTAGTGGAGAATATACTACTCTGCTAACTGGACATAGTATTAAATCTACTCCCAAGAACTTGTCGTTATATCCATAGATGAATGTATTTCTCAACCATTCATGTTTTGGACAGAATTATAGTAAGGGTGGGCAAAAAGAGGGGGAAGAATCATGTTGAAAATGTATTAACTGATTTAGAGTTGCATACATTGTGGCAACAGAGAAATCAGCTACAAACTAAATGTTGCAATTATTAAAGATACTAATTTTTTCACTGAAATGATAAAAGTTGAAGAAGGCAGCAGAAGATGAGGAGAATGCTCAGACTGACAGAATATTATACCTTACTTTATAAAACAGATATATTTATGAAAATGACTTGTAAAGTAGTACAATCTCTTCCTAAACCCCAATGAAATTTTTAATGGAATGAGAAAAAAGTTAGAATTCAAAATGAATTTAAATAGCCAAAGTAATTCTGAGGAGTAGTATCAATGCTGACTTATAGTTATGCTACGGACCACAGTAACTCAAACTGAATGGCACTATTACAATAAAAGAAGAGAAAGGATTCCAGAAATGGCCCCAACCTGAAATAGACTCCTTACTTATAATACAGTTTCCAAAAGTAAGGCTTAGTGAAAAGCCAACATCTTCAAACATGTGAAGAAAAAATAATATGTTAACATGAATGCTTAAGTCACAAACGAAACCAAAAACTTTATCTAGATAACAGTACTCTATGGACAACCCTAAATTCTGAATTTGAAGGTTGCCTTAGCATTAATACTAAAGGTCTTACATTTATGCAGTAGCTTTACCTTTATAGTTCATTTGGAATTGGTTAACTATCATCAATATATTGTCAAAATCAGACAAATCGTCATCCTCAGAGACTGGTTCAGATAACTGGTGATCATCCATAGCATCCAGGTGTTCTACAGCCTACAAAATAAACAATATTACTATTAGGAACATCCTCAAATTCTTATACTGTATGGAAAATGTATCAATATATTAGCTATACATCATTGTGATTAGAATCTCTTATAGATATGAAGGGAACTGATTTTTCAAAAAAGATTATCACTACTTCAATATAAATTTCAGATAACAAAATATTTAGATCTTTTTTAGTTTAGTCTTTATGATGTACTTCACACACATTTTATAATGTATCAACTTTGTTATAAATTATTTGAGCAAAATACTGTTTTAAATTTACTTTTACAGTACCTTATTCTTCTCATCACATCTTTTCTTATTTAGCCTACAAAGAAGGCAGAAATGTCTGTTCAATATTTAAATATGAAAAGCACAGATAATATTGAGAGCTATTGTTTGTAGAAAACCCATACATTTGAAATTTATCCTACTCAGAAGTTCATAAATTATTTCAAATATGATAGGCTTCTACAAGGGAGGTCCTGTTAAAACAGAAAGTAACATTAAGGAAAAACAAACACTAAAATCATTTAAATAATTAAATTCTGAGCAAAATTTCTGACAGTGAATGCAACAAAAATATGATATTGCTACTATTATTTCATGGAAAGTAATATGTTGACTTTTGTTATTATCATTTTCCATAAAAGTAAATCTTTATGGATGTTAGCCCCAGTTGAAGAATATTACATAAAACCCCAAAGAAGGTCAATTCTCTTGTAGTGGAGATAGCAGTTAGCTTGTTCAGAGTGTCCACTGCTGTCTAAATGTAGTTTAATTCTCTTAACAATTATGTGTGGCAAACAACAGTATTTTATAAATGAAAGGACTGGGAGAAAAAAGACTAAGGTCCTTCACTAAGTGCAGAGAGATGAAGAACTACAGCTAATAAATGGTTGCTGCAAGGTAGGATCAGTTTTTCCCAGCACAGTCTCGCTGACAGGCTATCCAATCCCAAGTGGTCACCAGTAAACACATGTACTGTGAGCAAACTAAATAATAATTATGAAGATGTTATGAACTTGAGAAAGAGTTGAGAAACATTGGAGGAGTTGGAGCAGGGAGAGGGAGGGGTGTAAATATAGTACTAGTGGATGGAAATCTCAAAAAAAGTAAAAAAAAATTTACATTAACGCTCACAAAGACATAGACAATAGATAATCCCAGTTCACCAGAACCCAAGGGTAAAGCAGGACAAATATATTCACAATACCACTGCCAACAACAAATCTAAAACAAACAAGCATTAACAATCAATGGTCTTTACTTTCCCTCAACATTAATGGTCTTAACTCGCCTATAAAAAGACACAGGCTAACAGAATGGATATGGAGACAGAATCCATCCTTCTGCTGCATACAAGAAACACATCTAAGCTTCAAAGACAGATATTACCTAAGGATAAAGGGCTGGGAAAAGATCTTCCAATCAAATGGTGTGGCTATCCTAATATCTAACAACTTAGACTGCAAACCAAAATCAATCAAAAGAGATGAAGATGGTCATTTCATATTCATCACAGGAGAAATCCATCAGCACAAAGTCTCAATTCTGAACATCTATGCCCCAAGTACAAAGGCACCCACATTCGTAGAAGAATCGCTACTAAAACTCAAAGCTCACATAAATCCTCAAATACTCACAGTGGGAGACTTCAACACCCCATTCTTACTGCTAGACAGACTACCAGTCAGAAACTTAAAAAAGAAAAAAAAATAACTAAGAGAAGCTATGTCTCAATTAGGTTTAACAGACATCTATAAAAGATTCCATCCAAACACAAAAGAATATACCTTCTTCTCTGCTCCACACGGAACCTTCTTTAAAATTGACCATTACTAGGCAACATAACAAACCTCAGCAGATACAAAAAAATTGGAAAAGTCCCATGTATCTTATCAGACCACCATGCTTTAAAGTTGGAATTCAACAACACAAATTGCAGAAACCCTACAAACTCATGGAAGCAGAACAATGCACAAAAGACCCAGGATAGCCAAAACATCCCTATAAAATAAAGGAACTTCAAGTGGCATCACCGTCCCTGACTTTACTACAGAACTATAGTCCTGAAAACAGCCTGGTATTGGTACAAAAGTAGACAGGTACACCAATGGAATGGAATCGAAAATCCTGACATTAACCCACACACCTATGAACACCTGATTTTCGATGAAACAGCTAAAAAGTATACACCAGGAGGAGGAAAGCATCTCCCACAAATGGAACTCCTCAAACTTAGAAGCTTCTGTATGGCAATGAACACAGTTGACAAGACCAAACGACAGCCCACATACTGGGGAAAAGATCTTCACCAATCCTACATCTGACAAAGGGCTTATCTCAAAAATATACAAAGAACTCAAGAAACTAGTCAACAAAACACCAAATAACCATATTAAAAAATGGGATACAGAACTGAGTAGAGAACTCTCAATAGAGGAAATCAAAAAGGCTAAAAGACACTTAAGAAAATGCTCAACATCCTTAGCTATCAGGGAAATGCAAATGAAAGCATAACTATGACTACCTCATTCCTTGTCAACTTGACACCCAAACATGTGACTGTTAAATTAGAATCTTAGTTATGTACCCACAAAAGACATGATTGTGGAAGTGAAGCTGTGGGTATAAAAGATACTGTGAAAGAGACATGCACATCTGTTACAAATTTATACTTCAACAATTACTTGTTGAGCCAGTTAGTAGTGGCACACGCCTTTAATCCCAGCACTCAGTAGGCAGAGGCAGGTGAATCTCTATGAGTTTGAGGGCAGCCTGGTCTTCAGAGTGAATTCCAGAACAGACTACAAAGTAACACAGGCAAACCCTTTCTCAAAAAAACAAAAGTATTTGTCCACTTCAGTTAACAACACTGTCACAGAAAACCATCTTCTCCAACTCTTAAGCCCTGCCATTATCTTTTTAATAAAATAGGCATCAGTATAGTGGGGAACAATGTTATCCCATTATATTTTTTGATGTCAGTGCCAGACTGAACTTCCCTAGTAAAAACATGGAATCTGTTAAACATGAACACTAGGCCAAATGAAAATTAGTTTCTTAGGACAATAGCAATGATGCTCTAATAAATATTACCATACTTACACAACATGCTTTTTTGTTGTTACTGGAAACTGGTGGTTACCAGCCTTCCCACAATGCCTTTGTAGGATGAATTCATGTCTAGTACCATTACCAGAAAGGGCAGCAGCTGTTGAATCATTGTCTTCATCATCATTGGGGGAAGCAGCGTCAGCTGCATCAGTAGCAGCTGCATCAGCATCAGCTGCATCAGTAGCAGCTGCATCAGCATCAGCTGCATCAGCATCAGCTGCAGCAGTAGCAGCTGCATCAGCATCAGCTGCATCAGCATCAGCTGCAGCAGTAGCAGCTGCATCTGCATCAGCCACATCAGTAGCAGCTGCAACATCAGTAGCAGCTGAAGCATCAGTAGCAGCTGCAGCAGTATCAGCAGCAGCCACATCAGCAGCTGCTGCATAAGCATCAGCAGCATCAGTAGTAGCTGCATCATCATCATCATCATCATCATCATCATCATCATCATCATTGGTGGTGGCAGCAGTGGCACTAGGAGTGTTGCCATACGATGGATTTTCCACTATGTCCATCCTGTTGCTGAGTCCTGTCTTCTTTTGTTTAAGCTGCAACAGAAGTTTGCTACTAAGAATTCTAACACCTTTTAATAAAAATAACTTTGCTTTTCTCAACTTCTGTCACTTAACCCAGTTCCATTTTGATCATTTTAATTAATAAGACCTGTTTTGTATGTAGTTTAGTAGTGTCATTAAAGAATTTTTCACCTCATAGTTTTCTTTTGAATCACTGTTTTCTGTGTAAAATGTTCACTGTCTGTAAGACACAGCTGTGTAAAAAGCAACGTGAAAAGACATGTGTGTATCTGTGACAGTTGTGTGGCTTAGTCTATTTGTGAAACTCTAACAACAGGAGCATGACCTGCCCTAATGCTTCGGCTGGCTCTTGGGGACCTAGTCCTCATACTGGGTCGCCTTGCTCAGTTTTAATACAAGGGGAGGAACTTAGTCATACCACAACTTGATATGCCTTGCTTTGTTGCTACCCATAGGAGATCTGTCACTTTCTGAATAGAAACAGTGGAGGAGTGGATGGGGGAGTGGGTGGAGAGAAGGGAATGAGAGAAGGAAAGGGAAACTGGTCAGGATGTATAAAAGTAGACACCTTTTTGGTTTTCCTGGCAAGATTTCATCTCACGTTAATAAGAGTCCATTTGGAGAATTCAACATTGTGTAGCTCCAGTAACAAATGATTGTTTTAACCTAAATTAATACCCCATTTAATATGCTCATTGAAAAATAAATACAAAGGCTGAAGATGGTCAAGGAATCAAGTGTATGTGAGTTTTCATTCTCCTTTAGCTGACGTGTGATTGGTTGTATAATTATTTCATTTTAATTGTCCTTCTTTGATGAACAGTTCCTCAAGCTTTTATACTTGAGGGATGGCTAGAGGTACAGTATCACCTCTGTCACAAACCTTAGTTAGTTCTGACTTCTGAGAAATTTTCTTTTGGAAGATGGAATATAAACATTAGTTTGATTGAATATTAAGTACACTGTTAGGCTAAGTCTTAAAAAAACAAAATTCACAATTCACTTAAAATATAATAAATTTAGCCATAAGTAATCATGGTCATGTTAAAAGACAAACTAGGAAACTAAATGAAATTCATCTCTTAAGCTTCATACTATATTTTTTATCTGCTCCCCAAATGCTGACAAACACTCTGAAATAAAGAGAAATTTACCTTAGCCTAAGTCAGAATTAAAATATGAACAACAATCTTAACTCTTCACAGTTTTGGAATGAACTTAATTAATTGTGTGAAATTTACCAAAATCAAGTTAAATGGTTGAAACACTATAAAGGCTTCTCCTATAAAATATTTACTATACAATATCTTTAAGTTGTGAGCATTTACAGTTACTTTAACCCATTTATCCTAAGTCCTATAACTGGAGAATAGGTACATTTTAAACTAGTTAGGGACCAAAGTCAATTCAGCCTCAAAAGAAATAAAATTCCTACACTGTAATTTAAATTGTATGCTATGACAGTTTTTTTTGTACCAATATGAGCTGATCTGTATGAGTTCAACCTAATATATTGTATTTATTCCATTTATCAGATTACAACAGTTGGATAAAAATTGCCAAATTTGTACATTGAAATGAAATACATTAAGATGCCATTCTTTACATTGAAATATCAACTGTCCCTTTCTGGAAGATGTCATTTTCTTATCCTAGACAGCTGAACTGATCTTATGACTCAGTACTCTCTTATAGTATAAATGCTGAAGTCAGTCACTGACAAGAAGGAAAAACTGCATTTTTGACATTGCAGATACTAAATGTTAATAAGAATCAGCACAATTTGACCTGATAGGAATGATTCCCAAACCATAAACACAACTCTGGTGCCATCTGTTACACTATTCACAGTGTCAATTAGTAAATAATAAGATCCAAATATGATATTACTTTATCATGATAGGAGGCCTATACATAGAATGCAAAAATTTAAAAATTTCCCTCACTTCAAAGGAAGAATTTTTATTATTGTAATTTTATATATATTTCAGCATTTTTCAAATTAAATATTAAACATTATCTATAAATTCTGCAGTGAAGTATAAAATGTTATTTCATTTGATCAGTGCTACATTATTAAACAAAGCACATTAAATGAGAATTTTAAATTGAAAAATCACACACCAATGGCTGACTGTTATTGATGCTGTCATCCTGGTACTGTTCTTCTCTGGATGTAAAATACAGGCTTGGTTCTGCTGAAAACCCAAACATAGTATAAAGAGAAATTCAATCATATGACAGTTTTTATAACATAGAGTTTCAAGATGACTCAGTAGGTAAAAAAAAAAAAAAAAGATACTTGCTGACAATACTAATAACCTAAGTTTGATGCCCAGGGTCAACATAGTGGAAAGAGAGAACAGACTCCTTCAAATTGCAATAATGTGCCCCTGTAACCCACAAAACACAAACACATAATAAATGAATGAACAAATAAACACATGTAAAAAAATTAAAAATCCAAGTTTTATTTTTAAAAGAAATTGATTAGGCCCAGTCTTTACTATCCTTTCTTGGATACACACTTTCAATAGATAGTGGAAATACTAAACATATCAGCACTCCACTTGGGCAGACACTATGAACAAGCCCTCAGAGATAGCTTTTTGTTTTTTAAGACAGGGTTGCTCTTTGCAGCCTTAGCTATCCTCAGCTGACCTGGAATTCACTCTGTAGACCAGGCTGGTCTCAGTCTCATAGAGATCCACCTGCCTTTGCCTGCTAGGATTAAAGGCGTACATCACCAATGACTGAATGGAGACAACATTTTAAATGCCACAGAAATATTTTGGACACCACAGAAACATCATTTCCTATCTCAGCACTTATATGTAAACAATCTTTTTTCTAGATATCAAAAATGATGTTTTTCCTCCTTTATCTATGACTATGATGTCCCTTCCATCTGAAAATACTTGGTCTAATTTCTAACAAGCTTTCCTTCCTTTAAGCCTCACCCATGATGGAAAGTTGTCACTGATTGTGACCATTTTATTATGTTATAACAAACATCTCTTTTGAGTTCTTTATAACTTTATCATTTTTTTTTAAATTGTTACTATGGTGCTTGCTATTTGAAATAGTCTTGCATGCCTACTTCTTCCATTCCTGAACTGGGAGGGGGCAAATTTTAGTATTATTTTCACACACACAGCATCATGAATTTCTGCTTCATTTGCCTAGTATCTCCTCACACTTCACACATTTCTTACTAATTTTCTTGTTTGCACTGCTCTTCATTATAGTTCAACAGTTCTCAGAAGCTTGAATATTTTGAAATTGATTTAAGATGGCATTCCCATTTGCAGCCTATGCTAAATCTGATATCACACGTATTAGTATTTGAGTTCTATTTGAACTCCCTATTTTGTGAAATAAATGGTTTTCATTGGCTTGTGGCATATACCAGTGCTCTTTGTCTGGGTTATTGTTGGGCCTAAAAAGGCCCAGATGCAAGGCCTTCCTGAGCCTGGCTAGAATTTGGTGACCTGTCTTTGGCCTATCACTTTCATATAAGAGTGACTCAGCAAAACTGCCTCTGCCTAGCTACCGTTGACATGGTGAATCATAATTGGCCCTTACACCTCACCCCAACCTGAGGTCCCCACCCGCTTTCTCAACTTTATATAAGCTCATGCTTGATGCAAAAAGGAGCTCCTGCTTCAACAGGCTCCAAGCTCAGTGTATGTTTCTCCCCAATAACTTGGAGCAGGGAGGTCTGAGTCATTGACACTCACAATCCTGGGCTCAGCCCTGGGAGGAGAAAGGCTGGACTGGCCCTTCCCCAGCCCTACCTGCCAGAAGACCCCACAGATAATTACTCCACTAAATTGCTTTCAGCTAAATAGACTTCTGACCTTTCATTTGTCCATTTGCTACCTTTTCTCCTCTCCAATCTTCAGCCCTGGGGAAATAGACACCATCCTTCTTCTGTGCAAGAGGCTCAGAGAAGATCTGTTGAAATCAGAGGCAAGAAAGATTTTAACAAAGATCTCTCATGTGTTACTTGGAAAGATAGCTTTGATGGGAGATGTCATTCTGTAAATATGTTTCTCTTATTGGTTAATGAATAAAGCACTGTTGGCTAATAGGAAAGCAAGATAGGTGGGACTAGGAGACAAGAAAGAGAGAGGAAGTAGTAGGGAGGAGTCAGCATGTAAAGACCGAGGAGAGCATAATGCCAGCCCCTCTCCGGTAAGATGAGACCACGTGGAAATACTTAAAGTAATAGAAATGGGTTAATACTTAAAACAGAGCTAGCCGATAAGAAACTAGTAACTGGCCAATAGTGTTGTATCAAATACAGAGTCTCTGTGTGTTATTTGGGGCTGGTGCCTCAGTGGGTCCAGACCAGCGGGAAAACTTACTCCTTACACAGCTTAGTTTCTTATTTCAAAGTGGTAACACTGGAAAATAATGGCTGGCTATATTGAAACTCCAAATATTGAGTAGAGAGCCTCTAAAGGTTATCTATAAAGGATGTAGTACTGACATTTACTTTCATGAAGTTGTAGAGTACTACATAAACCTAGCATGTAAGGCTGGAGGAAACATACTCATTGACAGCATATATCAACAACAGACAGTTTTGAATATAAAATTATATGTTGTTTTCCTCAATAAATTATAATACATATGATAAAATCTTTAAATTTTAAAAATTGTTTGAAAGTTTCATATATTAATGAACAAATATATATTGTTTTTACCCCTCATTCTCCTCCCTGACTTCCTTTCACCTCCTTCCCTGTTCTACTGTAACCCTTATTCCTAACATACTTCCAGGCTTCTTTCCTTTCTTCTATTGTGTGACCCACTGAGTGCAATTAGAGTTACTTGCCTAAGTGTATGTAGGCAGCTTTTACTGAAGCAAGTGCTGAGCATATATATATATATATATATATATATATGTATGTATCCATCCCAAGCTACACTACTGAAGCAAATGACACCTTTTCTTTAACAAGTGTTACCTGCCAATAATGACAGGCCTGTCATGGAGGTAACCAACAACTTTCTGGTTGGATTTTGGCTCACTCCATGGAAAGGTACTAATATCTGCTCTATAAGCTTGGTCAAGAGCTTATAGCTAGAGAGATGATTCATCTTAGGGGGGAAACTACTATCACTGATTTGCTAAGTGGTCATATTTTTAAACTGTCTTCTAAATACTTATGCTTATACCCATACAGTGGTGTTGCACTGAGTTTTCACTGAAAAAAATCTTCTTACTTCACTGGACAATAGTTTATACAGAAACCAATGACAATCAAAGTTTATTGATGGTGTGATGGTTCCTAAATGGTCTACCTTTCATGGTCAGGGAACATTACAGAACATTATAGGACGAAGGAAATGCAGCAAAAGGAACACATTTTTTAAAGTATCTTATTAAATATGTTCTTAAATGTAATGTGTGATATAGTAATAATAATTTAGAGGAATTTCAATGAATGAAGCTGAAATAAGATATATATATAATATATATATCATAAAATAATATGTTAGATCAAGAATAAAGAAAATATTATATTAGTTTTTCTGGTGGATAAAAACAGGGAAAAATTCTTGAGGCTCCTAGGAAGATGCAGGGATAAATGCGAAGCCTGAGAAGATGCCTTGGTGGAGAAGACTTATTTCTGTGCAAACATAAACTCCTGATATTGAAATATCAGTAACTTGTTAAAAATCTTGTATTGTCATACATGCCTATAAACCTAGTACTATGTGCAGCAGAAACATGAGGACTCTTGGGGTTTGCTGATTCCCAGTGGATATCCACATTCAGGAGACATTTTGTCAAGGGGGTAGCTGATTTGACAGCCCAGGATCCTGAGGTCCTCCTCTGCCTCCTAATTGTTCCCTGTGTGCATGCAGTAGCACACACATATGGACATATACAACCACACACATTCATCTCTCTTATATATACTCCCATACCCAAAATAAATATTAGAATAAGATCAATGCTTTAATAAAATGAACAAATGTTAAAATATACACGTATTAGGTTATATTAAAACAACAGCATGAAAATATTAGATATAGTACTGATCTGTTAGGAAGATCTTCAGAAAAGAATACCAAACCTTAGCAAGAATAGAAGTGTATGTATGTTTATTTTTTGTCAAGTGTTGTAATGATATGTGCCTTAATTTGTCATTTTCTTATGTAGTTTTTGCAAGTGTAAAGATGACTGGGACAAGATTTTCTCACTCACTCTTGTTTCCAGGTCTCTCCAGAATGCAAAGAGCTGAATGAAATATTGTGACCCTCTGTTTCCCTCTGCTCAGTGTGTCATCTCCTAGATATTGGTGAGGGTGATATGTTCTCATCCACTAATACATAGCTTAAATCTTGTATATTCATCTACCCCGATCACAGAATTTTTTCCCACTTCAAAATAAGAGGTATAATCTTCATTGATGCTTTTTGTACCTGTGTCTTCTTCATAGTAAGCATGTAATGTGACTTACAAGTGTTTGCACTTGACTTATTCCTTTAGCTTGTCACCATGTCAAAGATCCTTACCTACAATACTCAGTGTGTAATTTCTATCAATAGAAGAAGATATTCAATATCAAAATATTTTATCACGTTCTGGAGCATTCCAAGCAGAGTTAGAATATGTGTCTATAGCAAGCATCTACTAATTATTTCTTAAAAATGAGAAATCTTATCCCAAATATATCAATATATGCTATCTATGCCAAGTCCATAGAATGTCCATGAAATGCAATGCACAATACTTTTGTATTTGCCAATTTACATCATTAAAATCAAGATAAGATAGAAAGCTAACTTTTATATGCTCACCCCAAAATGCCAGATGAGCAAATTTTCCTGTATGTTAATAAGCACACCATATGAGTCTACTTTCTCCATCAATGGACACATAAAAGTCATATAGAGATCATAAAGACAGAATTCAACTTTTGAGTTTGGAAGTACTGACTGTAGTCTGAAATAGAAATCTTTTTGACTGACTGAGAATGATCATCCTTTAATGCTAACACAATTGTAAGGGCATCACCTAAGTCTTCTTTATAATTTGAAATGTGATGATATTTTTGTTGGCAATTGTCTATAGAAGAAGAATGAGGGCTTGATTCAGCACCCACAAAAATAAGCCAAGCATGGCAGCATGTTTCCACTTTCAAGTCCTGGGAACATTCTAGGCAATTTATGAGATCATGTTCAATTGGAGACCTTGCCTCAATAAATGCAGTGTAGAGCAATAGAATATGGACTCAGACATTGACCTCCAACCTTTATAGACATGTGTATGTGTGCTTAGCACACATCTCTATTCTCTCATTTCACTTCCTCCCCACCCCCCGTACCATGCCACCACAAGGTAAAACACTAAAATTTAAAATATTTACTTATAACTTAATTATTGATCATGTTATTGAATTCATACAATCAGGCGCTCAGGTAATTTTCAGGAAGAAATTTGGCTAAAAAATGGAAAGATGATGTTTTGCTCCAAACTCAGACTCTAAGACTATTTAAGAATAGTAATGGGTCAAAATATCTTAATACTAAATTTTAAATAAGGTCAATTGTCCTACAAGATAACCTGATACATAATTTTATTTGCATATGCTATCTTATTAAAACTGCATTAAAACCTTCAGCTTAAATTATTACCTACCGATGACTGAACACTTTCACGGCTATCACACTTTCCTGCATTTTCTGTTGAAGTCTCTTCTTCAGATGGACCTGTTGACAAATGCACATACTATAACAAAATGGCAGATAAATGTATTTTATTGAAATAAAAATAATTAAAACTGGCTATAAGCACCAAATTTTTATCTTTATAAATTGTAAGTTGAATTATACTTAATGTTTAGTTGAATATTTAAATTTTTTACAGGATGTTTTTATTTGCCATTGGTTTTCAAAAGTATTTGACTGAAATGACACTCCACTAGAGCTGAAGTAGTTAAAATAATACAAGTTATAAGGAGATAATGCAGGATAACTTTATGAATAGGTAGAGAAACAATAAAATTTGGTTATGGTATGATAATATTTATTTATATTTCTTTTCAAAATCTTAAAAAAATTTATTTTATATGTGAACTGTAAGATTTTATTTTTATTTATGTCTGCATGTGTGGATCTGTCTAAGAGTAAACCATGTATGTATGGGTGCCTACTGAGGCAAGACATGGATGCACTGAGTCTTACTATGTATTACTGCAGGTAAACATCATTGTCCACTGACATGTATTGGTTCTCATGATTTGCTTGATATTGCTTCAGTGGGTATTTATAAAATGTAGATCTTACCATTCATTACTGTGGTTGTCTTATTTTGTCTTCTTTGTTCTGTAGTAACAGCTAAATTAATCACATCCTGGTGCTGTGGAAGATGCTCAGAGACAATCTGTTAAAATTAACACAAAGTAAGAAATATCCTTATAAGTTCTAAGAATAGTTGAGTTCTTCATTTCTACAGAAGCTAGCCTTTTGTTCTTTTTTGTTTGTTTTTTGAGACAGGCATTCTCTGTGTAGCTGTGTAGACCAGGATGGCCTCAAACTCGCAAAGATCCGCCTGCCTCTGCCTCCCGAGTGCTGTGATTAAAGGTGTGCACCACCACTGCCCAGTCACTAGCCTATTTCTTAATGGAAGCACTAGTTCCCACGCCTTGTGTTTAACTTCATATGATCACTTATTGAACACACAAACAAATATATAAAGCCACAAGGAACATTTTAATAGAATAGTGATTGCCAACACATGCCAACTAATAAAGAAGCATTGAAGATTATTTATGCTGATAATTTAAAAATTAAAGTATCACATACAAAAAACACTAACAAATAGTCACAATTTAGTATTTACATGAGAGTAGTTTAGCTCCACATGATTCTTAGGATATTCCAAGAATCCTCATATATTTAAATAGATAGCATCTTCATTCTGTTGCCAAATATGTTTCTGAAAGTTACCTATAGCTCAGTATGTATAAACTTCATAGTGCCATAAAGAATTCAAATCAAGGGAAAAGATTTTCACCAAACCTATATCCGACAAAGGGCTGATCTCCAAAATACACAAAGAACTTAAGAAACTAGTCAACAAAACACCAAATAACCCTATTAAAAAATGGGGTACAGAACTGAAGAAAGAATTCTCAATGGAGGAAATCAAAAAGGCTGAAAGACACTTAAGAAAATGCTCCACATCCTTAGCTATCAGGGAAATGCAAATCAAAACAACTTTGAGATACCATCTTATCCCTGCCAGAATGGCTAAAATTAGAAACACCAGTGATGACTTATGTTGGAGAGGATGTGGAGAAAGTGGAACACTCCTCCACTGCTGGTGGGAGTGCAAACTCATACAGCCATTTTGGAGATCAGTATGGCGGTTCCTCAGGAAAATGGGAATTAGTTTACCACAGGACCCGGCAATCCCCCTCTTAGGCATATACCCAAAGGATTCACATCCATGCAACAAAGACATCTGTTCAACTATGTTCCCTACTTCACAGGACCTGTCAGATCTACATGACCCCAACTGGATGGCATTGCCCTACACATGGAATTGGGGTGGGGGGATGGGAGGAGAGGGTGTTTAGAGTGCATGTGAGAGGGCAGAGAGGGTAAAAGGGAGGGAAGGAGGGAGGGAGGGTTGGGGGGGAGGGAGGGAGACAGAGGGAACTGGGATCGATATGTAAAACAATAAGTTAAATTAAAAAAATGCTTTGACTCCAAAATTTAAGTTGAAGGACAAGTTACTGGGGAAAAGGATTTCTATTTTTATTTCCACAGAAAATGAAAAGATGTGGATTCCTTCCAGACTGATGAGGTTTGATCACGCCAGACCGCCTGAAACAGAGTACAAGCTAATCCTACATTCAAAACAACTGGACAAAACAGCCCTACAGACTACAGCCAGGATATCTGAATCTTCTTCGAATCCCCCCAAGACAGCGCCCCTTACCAGCAGGAAGTAGCTTGGAAAGAACGACGCCCAAATTCCCAAATATTGTGTATAAATGTTTGTTTTCATTTAATTGGACTTTGTTATATAAAATTAAATAAAATAAAAAAATAAATATAAAAAACAGAATTCAAATCAAAATAGACTTTCCTGAGTATGCCTCACAAAGCAAAATAAAGAAGAACAAGAACATTGAAGTAAAATATTTAACATACCAACGACTGAACTTTTTCATGTCTGGCTTGTTTTCTCTGTTCCTCTCTCGATGTCACTCCTTCCCTTGGCTCTGCTGATAAATGGATGCATTTAAGTAAAATGAACTTAAATACAGGTGATGAGTTGACCATGTTCCAGTGGAAAGTCACATATCAAGAGTGACTAGACAGTATAAATTGGTCTTGATGGGGTTAAAAAACACACAAAACTGCATGGGTGGGGGACGGGGTGGATCTTGGAAGAGTAGGGCAAAGAGGATGGATATCATCAAAACTCTTTGCTTCTCAGAGAGAATATATTAGTTCCCTAAGAGACTAATGTGTTAAAAATTGCCAGTGGTTATACTTACATAGAGACAGTGTGTGGTGGAAGGAGGAATAGTAACAGGATATGCATAATAATCAGTGAATGGGTTCATTTATGACAAAGGGTAAAAAACAAGATTCTGGCTTCTAGAAATATTCAGGGCTGAAAACTGTCAATTTCCCATTAGCACAAATTGAATCATTACTAAATGTATAACATGTGGGACCCAAGAAGGCTAGTTTCCAACCATTACTCACAAAGCTGTATGAAATGAGTTGAGAAATAAAATAAGTAATGTGTTCAACTTCACCAAATTGTGAAGTTTAGTTCCTTATGGCACATCATTACATATGATTGTAATAGGATTAGAAAATTTATCTCAAATCTCCCCTTCTTTGGTGTCAGGAGATCTAGATGAAGGATCAAGGAGGGCCGGAGATAAAAAGCACATTGTTAAAGCATGGGCATTGTGTGTGCATGCAATGTTGAAATAAATAGGCAAGATGATTGGACTTCATCTGGGCATATTATATTGATTGCTTACATCTTCCCATGCATTCACAGGCAAATTAAAAAAAAATCTTTTGCTTTTCATTTCATTTCAGGTTTTCTTCCCCCTTATAGTAGTTTGAATGTAATTGGCCCCCATAAGCTCATAAGGAGTGGTACTATTAGAAGGTGTGGCTTTGTTGCAATAGGTATGATCTTGTTGGAGGAAGTGTGTCACTGTGGGGGTAGGCTTTGAAGTCTCATAGATGCCCGAGTCATGCCCAGATCACTTCCTGTTGCCTACAGGTCAAGATGTAGGACTTTTAGCTTCCTCTCTAGCACTGTGTTTGCCTGCACGCTGCTATGTTGCACAATGGCGATAATGGACTAAACCTCTGAAAATGTAAGCCACTCCATTAAATGATTTCCTTTTCAAGAGTGGCTATGGTCATAGTGTCTCTTTATGGCAATAGAAACTCTAAGACACCCCTAGAAACAATCCTGAATCTAAATCAATAGTTATTGCTTCGATTCTGCTGTGCTTCAAGTTATAAAATGATCTTTTATATAGATATCTGATAACTGCCCTTCATAGTATATGGCTGGTTGAATAGAAACTTCTTAACCACTCAAGGAAAAATCCAGAAACCAGGAGCTGGTAAATCATAATGAGTATTCTATCTTGATTCTCTTTATATAGTAATCAGATTTGAGTTTCTATGGTCAATATGTGATCTCATAAATAATGCTATCACAATTTAACTTTCCTTGACCTAGTCTTTCTCCTTAAATCTCATGTTCTCTATTTTATTTATTTGTTTCCCCCTTTCAAATCTAGTCCTCTTCATCATATTTGTAACATTAAGTGGCAGGAAAAATAATAAATTTCTAAGTAGTATTTTTTTAATATGCCCATGGTGTACTTGACTACTTGCCCTGTGGCTTTCCTTGTTCAGTTTCCTTAGTTTGACCTATATGCTACTCTACTTAGAAATAGACCCTGTTAGACACTAATTAATGTTCACATTGGTCAACAGGATGGGCTATTACAATCTTAATTTCTTCCCCAAAGCAAAGATGAGAAGACAATGGGAAACATGTGCATCTACTTTCCTGACAACACTACATCCTGGAAGATCAATTAACTTCTCTGAATTTTATAGTAGCCTATCTTTATTTTCTAAAGAGTTTTGTTATTTTAGTAGAATCAAATAAACACTTCTTCCTTGTTTTCTTTCTTTTTTTTTCCTTTTCTGGTACTGGGTAATTTTCTCATTCTTCATTTGCCTGTCTTCCCTATGCTCTGTGAGGCCTTACTACTCTTCCAACATCATGACTTTGCAATGTATTGAGAAGTTTGATGCTTCAGTGGTACATCCCACTCCACATTTGAAGAACATGGATTAGACATCATTCTTACAGCCACTTAATCTACTGTATGACAGATATAAACATACATCTTTATGCATTGGTATTGTTTTGATTCATGTAACTATTACTTCATAGGGCTACATACAAAATAAAGATTTTTTTTACCATGCATTTCTAGACTAGTATTATCTTCTCTTTGATCCACAGTTTCTGCTAAGTGAACCTGATCCTTTTTTGTTGAAGGAGATGCAGAGACGATCTGAAAATTTAATATTAAAAGTGAGTCAAATATCCTTCTCTATTCCAGGAAGATCAGAGTTTCACACTGCAAAGCATCAAGATGGCCAAAGAAGGGATGCACTTCATGAGAATTCACATTTTGATTAGAAAACTTTAGGCATGCTACCTAGTTGCATTCTTCACAGGGCCTTTGACAGTGTAAGTCAACATGAAGACCACCATAGATACGAGTAGTTGTCCAAAATATGCCAAAAAAGATACATTTAAGATTAGTTTTGCTAGCAAGAAATGAAAATATAAGAGGCAGGTGAATCTCTGTGAGTTTGAGGTTACCTGGTCTATAGAGCTAGTTCTAGTACAGGCCTTGAAAAAACAAAACAAAACAAAAAACAAAAAAAGAAAGAAAGAAAGAAAGAAAATATAAAATATATTCTGTATACACTGTACACACATAGCACACAAATGTATGACAAAATTCCTTTGTAGTTTGTCAAATTAAAAGCACCAACCATATATGCTAAACTCTCATCTACAGCCAAAGAACATACAATTTAATGAAGCATTAAGGGGGTCATTTCATTAAATGTAGAAAGACTCATGGGAGCCTAGTATCACTGTCACAAAAATTAGTAAAAATATGTTTCTCACTTTGTATGCTGATAAGAGACCAACAATTCCTTATTATTGTCATAGAAATGCTAATTAAAATATATAGTGTGGTATTAAATCACCAAATGTAAAATAATTCTTATTGATACAATTATGCTTTCAAAATTAAACAGTTGTGACCAACTATTTTATAAGAAAATTGCATGTGTAATTTTATTCCTTGTGGTTTCTAGTTAGAAAATAAAGCAGTATTAGATGAACATCTTCAATTAAAATTTTACATACCAAAGACAGAACTATTTCATCCTTTTCACTCCTGAAAGACTCCTCTGTTGATGGCACTTCTTTATTTGTAGCTGATGAGAAATAAAGATACTTAACCAATTTTAACTGCAATGCAATGAATCATATTGACAAAGTATCATCACATGGAGATAAATAGAAAAGTTTAGATATAGTTAAATTAAAATTTTAAGATTTATTTTCCCCCAAAACACTTTCAAGTATCTAAATCTCTACTTTAATCTTTAGCATTTCGTGAGATACCTGTGATCATGTAACACTTAAATATTATCCCTTGGGACAGATATGAGAATACACCAGGTTTAGATAATTGAAGCATTTTATGTATTCACCTAAAAATTAATAAACTCAATGCAGAATAAGAAACACTGAGACACAAATTTTTAAAATGCCACTAAAGTGTTCACATTCACACTGTACAATCTTGTAACTTCTGTCAATCTTGTCCATCATATGTGAATACAAACATATCTAAAAGTTATATATTTCTTTTCTGGCATCCTTATTTTCCTTGTGAAATCTCTATCAGCTATGGGAAGTTTCACCTTTGGATATGCTTTTCTAGGACTATAGGCAACTCTATTTGGAGTCCTTTATCAGTATCCCTTCTGAACATTAATATTTTAACTAATTATCTCTCAGTGTAGCTAATGGATTAGAGACAAAAGCTCTTAAGCCATCTTTGTATTAAAAAAAAGTCAAGTTTCACTAGGAATTGTTTATTAACAGTCCACTAACTGCTAGAGAACAGGCTTATATCCAGTCAATAAGAGGATTCAGGGATGGATTTACATCAAGTAAGTTTGTATTGAGACACAACAGTGAGGTTGGGTGCATAGGAGGGTACAAAATGGTAAAACAAGAAAGAGAGCAGACAGATATGGAGGGAAAGGTTATTTTTAAATGCAATTAGAGAGGAGAGTTGATACCAGTGATTACAAAAACAAACAAAAAAACACAAGACAGATGAACAATTAAAGTCTAAGAGGCCAAATTCAAGCTTCTAAAGCATTATAAATAACTTGTAAATACTTAAAGATTAATAGTTTAAAGTATCCTATGACCATACTGTAATAGATGTGATGTGGTAGAAGAGAAATATTAGTAGAATATATACATACATACATATGTCACAGGGTAAAATTTGTGACAATAATTGAAAGTAAGGTGGTACAGGCTTGAGTTTAGAGGTACTCAGCCATCAAATTGGCAGTGTAAAATGAATTGTTAAGTTTGTCAGTGTATAAACCTGGAACCTGGAAAGACTCCACACTGCTAATCATTTGAAAAAGCATGTGAAATTAGGGGCATTAACACAGTGTGCTAAACCTCACCAAATGTGCTCAGTTCCCTGTCACAGGTTCTGTCCTACATAACACACTTAGGTTCTTTGTTTAGGATGTCACCTTTCTCTAGTGGAAGGAGCTATTGGAGAATTACAAGGCAGTCTGAGGATTTAACAACTGTTCATTTAACACAGACATTGCATGTTCTTGTTCATAATGCTGAAACTAAAAATAAAGCTTGCAGAGAAGAGCAGAGAAAACAGATCTACACATCTTAGGAATCATTAGCATGTTCAATGGTATTCACCTCCCCAATGACTATTTGTAAACTTTGGGAAAGTCTCACTCTTTAATAACCAGACAGTGGAAATCCCTAAGAGGCACAGAGCTTCCCCAGTGTGAGCTCTAGGGTGCAGAGACACACATGTTGAATTCTCTAAGACAAATATGAAATGTTACGTACTTTTTCCTCAGTCTTTTAAATAATTTTGCCAAAAAGGACACATGAGTGATCGATGACAAAATCT